TCTTCATTGATCTTTTGGGAGATTTAACATCGGATCGTCCAACGGAGTCGGAAAGATCCTCAAGCTCATCCCCACTTTCTCCATCAATGACCAAAAGACCTTCGCCTTCCGACGTTGAGCATCCATCGTCAAGAACTGCCATAATCTTCTCCACACAAGATGATTTCATCTTTCTCTTCTCTTGATCGACGCTCACATAGGGAATATAGTCTTTGACGGTCATCTCGATGATGTTGCCATTTGGATCCAACATGAATGGGGTTCTTCCAGTCGGCCATACAAATGAGTAACCAAGATCAACGCATCGCTTTCCCATGGAGAGCACGGAGGGTGTGTCCTCCAGGATGTGAGCTTCTGCTGGTTCGCTAAATGCCTCGAACTTGATGCTTGAACGTTTGGTCGAACATGTCACCCCATTTGCTGTATGGAAGTTGACGACCTTGTCATCATATGTTGGGAGATCCATCCTACTTATTCGTGTGGATGAAATGAGATCATGACCACTTCCAGAATCCAATATGAATCTCTTGTCTCTCTCCTCAACAGGAACAGTGATACACATTGTGTTACCCCTTTTGCCATATCGACCTTCAATATGCTGAACATAGTTTTCCACAAAAACTTCTCTGGACACCTCACCGTCCTCGATGTCGAGTCTGATCAGAATGTCCATGCTAGGGCCGACGATGACCAGGACTTCATCAATGTCACTGTATTCACCCTTCTCATCGATTAGAATAGCCATTGCTTTCCCTCGGCTCGACGCTAACCTGCATGAATAAGACCATTGTTCATCTTTCCTTATCTGATCAGTGGGCTTACCAACTTTACCATGACCTTTGGAGATTGTTTGGGACTTCCGGCTGCACTTCACGAAGTCCTTCTTTACGTAAGTTTGAACGTGAGCTCAGACTCATCAAATCTGACCTTCTTCTTGACCACGTTCGATGCAACCTTATGGAACGTCTCTTCGTCATCGCTCCAATCATGGATAAGTGCAGGAGTAGCCTTTGAGCCTGGTGCTTCGGTGTTCGGAGCAGTATTGAATAGATGAGGATCGTGGCGTTTGTTGCATTTGTCTCCATACCGACACTTGCCCTTAGCCCAATGCCAGCATGGTTCGTCAACCTTCTTGGTCTTGTTTGCCGGAGATTGACTTCTTGGAGTTCCTGGCTTCCGACCATTCCCTTTTGCGTTCTTGTTCGCATCGAACACCTTTTGATCATGACTATATTCACAATCTTTGCCTTTCCTGCATGATTTCTTGATGAAATGGAAATGGCATGGGATCTTCTTCTTGGATCTGGGGCTGGTACTTCGGCTGTTTGCTCGATCCTTTCCTTTCCCTTGACCTTTTCCTTTCCCTTTTGCATGCTGTTTAGGCTGAGGTGATGGTAGAACTGGAGCTGCATCGGCCTTGGCCTTCGCCTTGGGTGCTGCCTTCTCCTTAGGAGTAGCTTTAGGCTTCCCTTTTGGATTTGCATCTGGTGCAGCAGCAGTTGGATTTGGAGCAGGAGCTGAAGGTTTGCCGCCACCTGCAAAGTCTCTTGCGTACTTCTCTCTAGCGGCCACATGCTTGTCCTCTCTGATTCTAGAGATGTGTCTTTCGATGACGTCCAATAGATAGCGATAGTTTCGTCTTTGATCTCCTTCAATCCATGATTCGTACTGCTTGATGTCAAACATCATAAGACTCGAGTTTCGAATCTTCTTGTATAGAGCATCACGAAGCCAATCATCAGGAGGTACATCATCCGGCATCATGTTTGATACCATCTCCATCCATTTCTCGTAGAACACTTCCAGGTTTGAGTCACCGAGATATTTCATGGATACGATGTGCTCCATGGTGAAGGCTGTCTCTCGTTGACCTGGAGTTCTGAAGTGCTCCAAGATCATAGCCAAGATTTCCCGTCCCATGACATAGGTTCCTCTTCGACTATGACTTTGTGTTCTCAATCTCAATTTGATCGCTACATGACGGGCAACATCGCCGGCTTGGGCTATCACATTTGACAATGCAATTGACAACTTGGCGTCGATTGACTGATACCGTTGCCCTCCACTGTCATTTAATAGCTCGATGTCAGGATTTGGTCGAATAGCCGGCTGTAGCCATGCCTCCCATGCGGCTTTGTCTCCATCATTTGCAGAAAGAACAACACTCTTGATGAGGTCTGATTGCCAAACCCCAAGATTCTGTTGCTTCGGCCATGGGCTAACATAGACCTTGTCAGCCTCCCGTCTTGACATTCTCGGCACTTCTTCTGCAGTGTAAGCCGCTGTGGAGACATCATCTGCTGAATCGCGTTGTGACCCTCGAACTGAAGGCAAGCCTGGAGGTTCAGGAGGTGGTCCTGGACCGTTAGGCCCGAAAGGGTCAGGAGGCCCATCAGGGTCAGGCGGACCGCCCCATCCACTCGGTGGCTTGTAGTAGTCCCTCTCAGTTCCATCAGCGATCTTGTTGTCCACCTCTTTCAGCAGATCAGTGATTCTTTTGCTTGATTGAGAAGGTTGTCGTTGAGGAGGTACAGCATGTTCACGATAGGAATGAGCCACATTGGTCTCATAGTTCAACTCCTTGTCGATCTGCGAAACCCAAGACTTCAGAATAGCGTTTTCACAGTTAGCCTCACTCACGTCATTCTCCAGTTTGTCGATGACTAGTCTTGATGCGAGATCGTAGTTGGGAATGCCTGCCGAATAGGGAAGAGTGTCAGGGCTGACCCTAGATATAGATGTTTCAGAATCCTTGAGACTCTTTCTCAGTTCATCTAAGTGACGTTTCATGTCAACAATCTCAGAATTCTTGATACCGATCTTTTCATCCCTATCCTGGATTTCCCCCATGAACATGCATGATCTCTCATACTGTTGAACACCACTAGCCAACTTCATTTTGCGCTCATTCTCTAGTTCAGATTTTAGAGTTCGGACCTCAGCATTGGTGAGGGACGACGCCCCTACATCCGCAACTTCAGCCAATCTCTCTTTTAACAATATGTTCTCCTGTAAACATTCATGAACTTCATGATCTAGGTCCTGAACCCTGATTTGAGCGATTTTGGCTTGATTACGTAGATCTTCAACAAGCATCTCATCGGGGCCACGACCGTCGGTCGTAGTACCCTGAGTCAACGATCTTCGCAACTTCGTGTTCTGCAACTTGATCTCATCCTTTAATTCGCAGTTCATTTCCTGCTCGTTGGCATAGAGCTCTTCATAGTGCTCTGCCCTTGCGACCGAGTTTGCACTAGCCTGTGATTCAAGCCTCAGGTGTGATATTGCCTCGGCCTCTTGGTTCCTGTATGATGCAATTCTTCTGACGGTATCATGTTCAGTGTTTCGATGCTTCAGATCACTTTCCAATTTTGCCTGATTTGCCTCGAAAACCTTCTTCCTAGATTCTCTAGTGATCTCGTCAATACTGCTTTCATACAGCTCGGCCTGTTTACGAGACTGAACCAAAGCTTCACTCAATAGCTGATTCCGTTCAGATAACTCATGAACTGCAATTGATTGTTGTTGGCTAATCACTTCGAGTTGGTTGCTAGAGAAGGATGCCATTTCGGATCGATTACGATATTCCATGATTGAGTTCTGGAAATCTGTCTGCATCTCTTGACCTTCATTGTACAGTCGATTGGCAATATCGGTGGTTAAGACATTGGTTTGATGAAGTTGTTGCAGTCTTGCCTCCGTATTACCCAATAGTCCTTGAAGGTGATGTACTTCATCCTTGTACTCCTCCTGGATCTCCATACCACGTTGATGGATCCGTCGTGCACCATGTTCCATTAGGGCACCTCGGCGTTCAAGGTCTTGGATGCGTATTGTTGCACCTTCGTCTTCCTGAGATGCTACCATTAGTTCTGCTTGATATTCTGCAACCTCATTTGCGGAACATGACAATCTATGATTGAGTGCATTGACCTCATCAAATACATTTTGGTTGTGTTCCTGAAGATACTCAGTGAATCTGATCTCGATGTCATGAATCAGCTGATCTCTAGATGCAGCGTATGCTTCCATGTGGTTCAACTGATTACGTAGGGATTGACATTGTGCCCGTAGTTCTTCTATCATGGCAATAGGTTCACTAGCCACAGAAGTATCCGTTGATCTCCTCTTAACACGACTATCCCCGGTCCTCTCACCAATTCGGTCGGTCACGGCCCTGGTGGATCTGTCCCTTGGAGTAGTTCGTCCTCGAGATGGTCGATGCCCTTGGCGGACAACATCACTTCGAGCACTGTTTCGAGAAGATCTTGGTGTACTTTGAGTGGATATCCTTCGTCTGTTTGACGTGACTTGCCATCCGGACTGTGTAGTTCGGGTAGAGCGTATCCCACCACTGTCTGCCGTGTCACCAGGGGAAGATTGATTGACCTCCTCGACCAGCATGGCAGTGTTCTCATTGAAGGTAAACTGCGTGGTGCGCGAATCTCCGCTGCCGCCTTGCATCTTTGCGATGATGAGCTGATTGGTCCTTTGCGTCCTCAATCAGTTGCTCGGACAGCCCGGCTACCAGCACGCAGGTACTACTCTCCCGGCGGGAGAAGTGAGCCCTTACGGCTGATAACCTGTGAGCAATTTGATCCTTGTTCTGGATTATCCCTTTTGATTGTAGTACCGGTTATGCTGGTAGTGCAGGGCAACGTCGCTGCATGGCGTTCAGTGAACGGTCTTTTCCTCGCGCATGACTTGAGCCAAATGATTGGCAGTCCATGCAAAACTGTCTACATGCTCAGCATGTGCAATGGTTGTATTACCTAGTTCCCTTTCGCAATATATATATATGTGTTTAACCCATTCTATCTATTTCATACAATTTTATTTTATGATCTATGAATATGTATGGATATTTATAGCATTTAGCTTATATGTATGTATAAATAAATAAATAAATATATATATATAAATATACGTATATATAATCGTTTCACTTAAAAAGTAGAATTCTATATCGGCCATTACACTGGTGAACATGGCACTGGGAGCCTTCAGCAAACATGGCATTTTGAAGGCCAGCCATCTGACGGCATCGTTGTTGATCTGATCGCCTTGAAGGCTGAGGGTTCAAGTTCCAGATGTTCCAGGGACCTATGAGATTCCGAGATTCCTATGAGAAATAGCCTGAACATGCCTGAACTCTGAATTGTATCCATGTACAGATTGCAAGAAAATGTCAACACATGCAAGATGTTAACCATTTTACATTGCTGCCATGAAGCATACGCTGAAGTTCAAAGAAAGCATTGACATTTCTGCAGGAAGGCTCAATACCTGAGCAGGTTTCAACAGTTTCACTAAACAAATCACTCCTCAAGGCTTAGCGGTTTGGCCTTTTGATTTCAAGTCTCCAAATCTTGGACACGGCTGGCTAAGGTTGTGACTAGCAATTGCACTCCAGAGCTTGTGAAATACGGGCAGCCCCTGTATGTCAAGGTGTCGCACCACAACTCTTGTGAAAGTGCAACAAACTGGACCACAGTCTCTCGATGTCTCTCGCAGGTTCTTCAGTCTGACACAACAGTTAATAGCCTCACGGCTGCACTTTGTTGGAATTGAGATCCAGTATGCAGTATGCAGGTTTGACATAGCTGATCTTGGCCGATGTCTTAGCGAGTATGAAACGTGATCAACTGGGAAAGAAAAGATACGTACATCGAATATCATCGATTTACCTTTTTCTTGCAGATTCACAACTGGATACAGGGCACAACTGGATACAGGGCACAAATACTTGGCGAACAATTTCATGGTCTTTGTCTTTGTTGACTGAAGGAAAAAACAACCATGAAAAGAGTGTGCGCACACACACAGATCTCACTAATTAGGAAGGATGCAAAACCATCAAAACCCTGAAGAAAAAGTATCCCAAAATGTGCCAAGATGTGCCAAGATGTGCTAAGATGTCCTAGGATGTGCCAAGGTGGCCTCAGTCCAAGATGTAGATTCATCAAGCGCGGCGGAAAGCTCTCTGCAAGCGTGCCCACTTGCCTGTGATCCATATTCTCGATGCCTGGCCGTCTCGGCTGTCTTGGGATTCAACTCTGACTCTACCCAGCTGAAATCTTCTCTCAATCTTGACACCGGATGACAAGGGTCTCTGCCGCTGATGAGATAGCAACATATAGCAACAATTGGCTACTCGAAAGTGATTCTGATTGATGCTGGCTTCGGTTGCACAGCGGCAAAGTTGACTCAATGCAAAGGGATGTTTGATAGTTTTTCCGCTCCTCCAACATCGATGCTGAGAGCGCGTAAATTCTTCAAATTTGAAATGCCCTTCGCCAAACCATTGATGTTGCGGAGATTCGCTGCGTGAAAGTTCCTGTCGCATCAGTTCAAAAAGTCTTGAACATTGAATTTCATTGAATTTCATTGCTCATTGATACTCAGTGCTCAAATTTAAGGGTGTTTGCTTCGTCTCGCCAAATCAGTTCTTGCCAGGACACAATCGAAGGACTGTTATTGTTGCCGGCAAGCACAAGCCAAGAGCATCTACACCTGCGGCAGAATCGATCAGAATCATTGTTGAGCAACACAAATTGACACTGCATATTGATATATATTGATATATATATACTGTAAACCTGCATACACCAATCAAGTCTCCAAATGGATCTCGACTGCATTGCATGAGGGTACAGTAGCGGATGGGGCATGGACATTCTCGGACACATGCATGCTGACTGTCTTAAGACTCTTGAGAGCAACATGGGATGAGGATCATGTCGAGCATGTCATGAACTGGCTTCAACGTCTACATCAATTTTGACCATCAAATAAAGATAGATGGCAGCATTTGCATCAAATATCATCAAATATGAGTGAGAATTCGAGAGATGTACTTGTGCACGCCGATTAGCGAGCAAGTTGCGGTCCTCTTGCGTTTATTGACATAGCACAAGGAAATACAAGGAATACGTTTAGAAAGAATTCACAAAGCCCAATTAGATTAGATCCGATTTTTTTAATCCGTGCACTGTCACTCACAACTCAACTTTTAGTGAGCACATCAAGGTTCGTACTTGTTGATCTTGTGAAGTCACAAGTCATTTCAACATGAATTAGCGACATCTTTGTTCTGCAGCTTGGTGGCCTGTTTGACCAATCTGTGAACACATCTGGCAATCCAGCATCAAGGTCTCCAAATGCTTGAGTTGTGAGAGACTCTTTGAAAGGGCTCGGATTCCTGGAGTGCCGATTTGGCCACACCTCATGTGTCAACGGCTGAAGAAAATCAGAAAGAGTTGAGACCCCCCGGTCACCTCAGAAGCTTTTATATAGATAAATTTGGATACTGTACCTTTAGATCCTTTAGGGATCTGTAGGGTGTCACAACATGTCACAACTCGCGTCTTATCAATTAGGTTTTGCTTCTGGATCCGCGCTCAAACAATGTGCTTGGGATAAATGGTTTAGGATTGATCAGGTACAGTATTCGACAGTATGACCGGCAAATGAAATACAAGGTTCAGAGTATAGTCAACACATGTTAGCATATCATAGAATTGTATAGTATACTTGTGCAACCTGACCCTGGCTGATCTTTGGGGGGGCTCCACGAAAGCAATAAACTAGATTGATTACATTCCTCAACAACCTTGCTAGATGATGAATCTGTCTCACTAATCTCAACACTCCTTGACTCGAAACTCTTTAGAAGCAAAATTAGAACTACTGCACACGCCGCCCATCTCTTCCCCAGTCAGCTTGGGGACTCGACACTCACTATCCTTGAGAAGGTCATTCAGAAATATACAGAAATATTGTTCCCAAAGATGTCCTAATGACAATACTAACACAACCACAACACACTTGCAGCATCTTGCAGCTATCCCCTTCCGGTTCCACTTGCAATTCCTTGACGAACTCTTCCTCTTTCTTATTCAGATGTTTCTTACATTTTCACCTCTCTGTATGACAACTCCGCACTCCACAGAGTCAGCGAATCTGGTCACCTAGTCTAAGATTCCGCAAATACAACATCATTTCATATCATTTCATATCATTTCATATCATTTCATATCATTTCATATCATTTCGATATTCAAACAAACGCGTTCAGGAGCTCAGAATCTCTAAAACTTGGTGTTCAAACAATGAAGCTTCCTCCTTTCGGACTTCCCGGTGACAAGGTTCCAAAACGAGAGTTGCAAATGCCGAAGGTTGCTTGGGAGTGCGGCTGCAAGCTGTGCCAAATGGTAGTCGCTGAATCTAGGGGGCTGCGGTTCAGGTGGGCAAAGGAATCTTGTCCATGCGTGTCTTCACTGACCAAAGGGGTTTAATGACTTGCTTGGGGCCATGCGAATGGTTGACACTTCTGCTTCTGCTTTCCAACTACAGTACATAGTACGTACCAGTAGCTGACATGCCATGTCTCATGTCTCACGGCGCAAATGTCTTCATTTTGACAAGTCGTGAGAATGAAGTCACCTTGTCATATTCCCCAAACAGTTGTAATTAATCGTAGTCAAATGCAATCAGTGTACAATTTGCTGATCCTATCGCAGCATGTTGCAGCTCAACTGCAAACGCGGCACTTTGAATGTGAAAAGTTCTTGTTCAAGGTTGTTCTGCTATCATCTGCCAGTATTGCACGAGCCAACCGCTTTGGGTCTGGAAGGCTTTGCTGAACAACCTGCACAAACTCTACCAGCAGCAAGGCATCTCACAAATCAGAGCAAAAAAATGCAAACAGAAAGAGTAACAGGGAACAGCAGATTATCATAGATTATCCAACTTTATCCAACTTTATCCAAAAGCTGCAAAAATTCTTCTTGGATCTTGGAATATCTTGGACTGGGGTGAACATGGGCAGGATCTCCATGAGTCCCATCCAAAAACTGTTTTTTTTTGTTTACGTTTCTGCTATCTTCCGCCATACAAAACCGCTAGAGTCGCTAGAGCTTTTTGTTCACTTTTGGACAGCGTGTGTCATCATTCAAGTCATCATTCAAGTCATCGGTGTGAGGGCCTGATACCACATCGCCAGGGCCATCTCTGCCCGCAAGCGGCAATTGAACTTGCGAAAGTTCTCCTCCGAGTTTCTGTGACAAGTTGAAGCTGAAAACAAAGATTCAGGACAAAACTACAAACAACATTAAACAAGATTAAACAAGATTAAATACGATTATATAAACAAGTAACTAACAAGTACTGTATCAGATTTTGAACATGTGAAAGCTTTGTGACACGAATCCGGCCTGGGACGTCCTGACATCACCGGGCTCCGGCATATGCGAAGGCTCAAATCCTGGCAAGTTCTAGGCTGCATCACTGGAACAAACAAAACAAATACACAACATCACAAAACACATAACACATCATAACACATCATAACACCAAGATTGACCAAGATACACTAAGTCACCAATCAGTGTCAGCAGAGTTGGCACAAAGGGCAATTTAGTTTTTTCCATCAACGGTGGTGGGTGCTCTTCACGCAGACTTCACACCACAATGCTACAAGCTATATAGCAAACAAAACAGCTCCAGGCAAAAACTTACAGCCACCACAAGATCCACATGAGAAAAAGGCTGGGAGAAAAGCATCAAAGCCCGAACTTCGGCCACCACAAGCTGCGACACAAGCCGGACACTAACCACTTTGAGGCTTTGAGCCCCCTCCTTGATTCTATGCAAGGATCTCTGTAGCTAGCAGCAATATGCTGTATACACACAATATATGGGGGCAATACAGGAGATGTCAAAGAACAACATACCCAGCCAGCGTGAACAGACTCTGATGTATAGTCGCTCCTCAAGCTGTCTCAACTATATTATATAACTATATATAACTATATCATGTGGTGCCACGATATGCAAATTCGGAAGGACATGAAAAGACTGAACCTTGCAACAAAATCATACAACATCTGAAGACAAAGTGTTCGTTAACCTTCGATGAAAAAGAATCGACTTCTCCCAGTACCGGAATAGTCTGAGGGTTTAAACTATATTTCTAGTTTACAGCTCCCGACTACGAGACTGTCAAAACTGTCAAAACGTGCTTTTGGAATCTGTTCGATGCTTTTGAAGGATTTCTCGGAGTGTCTTGACAGGAAATCCAGTGTCACACTGGATAGTACAAACCCATAGTTATCCGGGCCACAACGGCAGTAGTGGATAGTAATGGTGGTACTGTAATGGCTCAAATTTCCGCATGCTGGACTTTCCATGTTTAGGAAACATTCGGCAAACCTTGCACAAATCATCACAAATCATTCGTGGATGAAACATGGAAAAATCGTTTGATCCAACAAATATTTGGCGCAATATGACACCCCTGATCCACCAGCCTGCAACATTTTGAAGAATTCGGTCGTAATCTTCCTGCGGTTACATCATGTTACATCAAATTGCAACAAACACTGAAAGAGAGCGCACTGAAAAGCGTGAACAAATGTCTGGCAAGATCCTTGTTGGAGGTTTGAGATTCTTCAATATCCAGCTGCAATCCGGGTTCGATGACCTGCACATGAGGTTTGACAATGTTTGACACATCATAATAAAATAACAATAAAATAATATAAAATAAATCAGAAAATCATCAGATGAGTCAAAGTCTGCGGCTTCCCGCAATCTCAAGACTGTGAGCAAATGAAATGACGGATCCATTGAAACACGTTGAAACCATCGCTCTCACAAATGCGTTGAATTGAAATCAGTAACATACTGATCTCTTGGAGTATTTGTATGTGTTTGTTGTCTCCTTGCCAAGCATTGCTCTTACACGTACATCTGCCAGGTGTAGAAATGTACGAGTGGTTAAGGCAAATGATATAACTCCGAGATGTCTGAAGACACAGGCATTTGTTCAAACCAGTTTGAAAATCCTCCCTGGCGGGGTGTCAAAATCTGTCAAATCCATATGAGCCACCAAGCTCATGCCCAGAATGACAGCAGGCATTGACAAAATAGATCACAGGGTGCCGTCCACAATCGCACATGCACAAACACACACAAACACATACACGTGCAAACCAAGATGGTGGCTGCCATGGTGACCATTTTCTATTCAGTTTCAATTGCAATGTCAATGCGATGCCTTGACTGGAAAGGGGTTCTCCCGCATTGCAACACTTCTTGCTTCCGAGCGGGGAGTCTTCTTTTCCATCTGACCAACCTGCCACGCGGCTCAAACCGAAGGAAGTGAATAGGACACCAGAGGACACCCAAATACAGAACAACAAAACAAACAGATTTGAAGATTGGATGGAGTACAAAGGCGGTTCAAACAGCCGGCAGCCAATGAGATATTGACAAGAATTTCGGACAGTCGATTGAAGTGGGGATGGGCAGTGGAAACCAATAGGCAGAATCCAAAGGACAGCATGGCCTGTCAGCCTCAGTACTTGGAAACTGTGCGAATATAGTGCGATATCATGCAAACCTGAAGGCCAAAACACTTAGAAACCTATGAACACCTTTGTGACAGTCAAAGTGCAAGAAGGACATTTGGCAAAAAAACAAGATGCAACCCACGAACCCGAATGCAGTCACGTAGAACACTTTTGTGAAACAAATTATTTGAACATTTTTGTACATATTTCCCCTGTTACTGTACCACTAGACTGTGGAATGCGGAAGAGGGTCGAGTGCAAAATGTGGAGTGTGGAGTGTAAAGTGTAAACTGTGGAGTAGAGTGTGGAGTGTAAAGTAAAGTGTGAAGTGTGGAGTGTAAAGTTTAAAGTGTAAAGTGTGGGGTGTGGAGTGTAAAGTGTGGAGTGTAGAGTGTGGAGTGTAAAGTGTGAAGTATAAAGTGTAGAGTGTAAAGTGTGGAGTGTAAAGTGTAGAGTGTATAGTGCAAGTAAAGTGTGGAGTGTAAGGTGTAAAGTGTGGAGTGTAAGGTGTAAAGTGTGGAGTGTAAAGTGTAAAGTGTGGAGTGCGGAGTGTAAAGTATAGAGTGTGTAGTGTGGAGTAGAGTGTGAAGTGCAAAGTGTAGAGTGCAAAGTGTAAAGTGTGGAGTGTGGAGTGTAGAGTGCGGAGTGTGGAGTGTAAAGTGTGGAGTGCGAAGTGTAAAGTGTAGTGTGGAGTGTGGAGTGTAAAGTGTGGAGTGTAAAGTATGGAGTGTAAAGTGTAAAGTGTGGAGTGCAAAGTGTAAAGTGTAGAGTGGGAGTGTGGTGCGTGGAGTGCGGAGTGTAGTGCGTGGAGTTTAGAGTGTAGAGTGTAGAGCACGCAAAAGTACTATTGCACGTGCCACACAAGATGACTTTCGACATGTTTGCAGACACATGAGAATGTCACGAACTGCCACGCATGCCACTCAAAGCCACGTTACAACTGGCTTTGAAACCTTGAAGCAGGATAGGTTTTGCAGCTTCCCACATAGACACTGCGAGGCCACAGGAAAACCAGAGACTCGAGACGAGACATGTTGGAGCATCAAAATGAGCATTTCGTGCAAGATTTCCTCCAATTTTCGCACTTCGTAGCTTCAAAATCGATGTTTCGTGCGAGGCTTCCGTCAATTTTCAGCACCTCTCACAAAATGCCACGCCTGCCACGGAATTTGCACCTTGTCACCACTTGAGGCAGCCCTGACAATGCGATTCGCAGAAAACACGCAACACGACACGTCTGAAGTGCTGCGCCTGCCCCGCAAAATGAAGATGGACACATCCAAAGTGCTGCGCCTGCCACGAAAACTGGAACGCATCTTCTGAAAACGACGCAAAAGTATTGCGCCTGCCACGCAAACGACTTTCGACACGTTATGAAGCACGTCTGAGTGTCACGAAGTGCCACGTCTGCCACGCGAAACGAGGCTACGCGACATGCGAAACCTCCAAAAGTGACCCCTTTTTGCAGAACCTACCATAGGCACGGCAATAGCGACCTCGCGTGGGCGGTTACGAACGGTTGCGAACGGTTCCGGTCGTAAACGCAACGTCGAGCGAACACACCCTCAACCCATCCAGACCTTTACGTGGCCCGGAGCTGCCTGGTCTAGAATGGAGTTCTCGCTGGACATATTTGGAACTATTGAGATAATTACAATATGAGCAGGTTTGGAAGCGATAGAGTATTAAACAAACAGATTTAATCTTCAATTTTGGGCCATACAAATTAAAGGACAGGATAACCCCACAAGTCAACTTCTTCCTAAAATGAGCTTGAACGGTTTCAGCGGGGACAGGGAAGGAAGGAAAGACAAAGGAGGTGGTGAAAGATCGTGTATGTATGTATGTATGTAGGTATGTATGCATGCATGTATGCATGTATGTATGCATCCGACGATGATGACATAGAGGAAAGGTACCTGGCCGCAGAAGTGTTGAACACGAATGTAGCTGGTTGTCAATGCAACTATGGAAGACACGACACAGTCACAGTCACAGGCAAACACCATGACACTAACTGTGCAGGTTTTTCCACAGATGTCAAGCAACCGCACAGTTCAGAAACACACAGGCGTCGCGATTTTTTCCACATAAGTGTCGGTTCGCCACGCATCTGCATACGCTTCTTCCCACATTGGGTCAAAGCTCTGGCTCCCGACGTCATAGATTGCTTGACTCATTGTCGGGCCGTGAGACACGCGCCTGTCCTCCGTCCAAGAAGCTCACTGGAAGGGCACCTGCGGCAGTTGCAAACACACAGAGGCTTCATGCGTGCTATCTTGTTACTACATGACAGCTGCAATAGCTCGGCACAGCATGAACCCCAAGAACCAATCTATTCTACATAGCTTAACCACAGTAGATATCTTATTGATCAACCGTATAGATGGTCCACACTACGCCGCAAGTGCAGCTCCCGGCCTGCGCATTACTTCACCATTGACAAGCAACACCTGGCAGCACAGAAAAAGGTTCAAGACGAAACCACAAAATAAAATATATAGTTCTTTGGTAGAGATCCACAGCGCAGCCTGCAGTTGTTGGTACCACGCCTGCCACACCGCAAACCGACGGTTATGTGAGTTGTGGCCCCACTCCTTCCACGTGAAACCGAAGGCTGGAATGCTGTGATTTGTGCCACCCTTCACGCAGAAGTGGCCGCGGCGTCACGGCGTCACGCGCTTGCCTAAACCCATGTCCAATGCTCCACCCAGTGCCATTGTAGCCCACGCTCCACGCAAAACGACGTAGATGTGATGTTGTGCCACGCCTGCCCGTGAAACGAAGGTGGATGTTCACCAGTGCCACTCTGCCACCAACGTGGCGCGGCGTCACGGGCGTCACGCGCGCCTAAACCAAGTCCAAGCGCGCCACCCAGTGCCATGTGTACCACGCCTGCCACGCAAAACGACGGTAGATGTGAGGTTGTGCCACGCCTGCCACGTGAAACGAAGGTGGATGTCACCAAGTGCCACGCCTGCCACGCAGAAGTGGCGCGGCGTCACGGACGTCACGCGCGCCTAAACCCAGTCCAAGCGCGCCAGCGGAAGCACGTAGCAGGCCGACAGAAGAAAGTGCTTACCACGCCTGCCACGCAAAACGACGGTAGATGTGAGGTTGTGCCACGCCTGCCACGTGAAACGAAGGTGGATGTGTGTTTGTGCCACACCTGCCACGCAGAAGTGGCGCGGCGTCACGGGCGTCACGCGCGCCTAAACCAAGTCCAAGCGCGCCACCCAGTGCCATGTGTACCACGCCTGCCACGCAAAACGACGGTAGATGTGAGGTTGTGCCACGCCTGCCACGTGAAACGAAGGTGGATGTCACCAAGTGCCACGCCTGCCACGCAGAAGTGGCGCACCGTCACGGGCGTCACGCGCGCCTAAACCCAGTCCAAGCGCGCCACCCAGTGCCATGTGTACCACGCCTGCCACGCAAAACGACGGTAGATGTGAGGTTGTGCCACGCCTGCCACGTGAAACGAAGGTGGATGTCACCAAGTGCCACGCCTGCCACGCAGAAGTGGCGCGGCGTCACGGGCGTCACGCGCGCCTAAACCCAGTCCAAGCGCGCCACCCAGTGCCATAAGTGCCACGCCTGC